CCACTGCGCCCGGCTTGTAGTATCTTTTATAATAAATGGACAAATGCAAGTAAAGTGCTTCCCTGAGTTCAGTGAGGAAACTAATGAATCCCAAGGAGGGAGGTCACGGGACCCTGATTCATAGCCAGACATGGTCAGAAGTGCAGGTTACAACCTGGAACTTGGCAATGGGCCTCTGAACTGAAAATGCTCTTGTGGGACTAATTGCACAAACTGTGGGATCTGTCGCTGTCTCCAGGTAGATAATGTCAAGAAAGGTCAATTGAACGACAAGAAACCCAGCTGGTATCTGCTGGAGAATTGCTTGTAAACAATTGCTTGTAAACACTAAAGTGTGGAGGAAACAATCCACGCATATTTTGTTGACCAGAGATGAAGAATTCCGTATTGTCCTGCATATGTGAGAGTAGAGAAGTAACATAACCCAAAGTGATTTCCTTTCTACCAGCCATGGTAGGATTGTGGGTGTGTTCCCAAGTGATTTTCACCATATTAAGGGAGGTTGTAATAGAGAAGAGAGATGGTTTATTTTCGCATCCCTTGAATTTGTATTTTTGAAAGCAGATCCCTACTCCTGTATCATTAGCATGGAAGACTGTGATGCTGGGGGACCATAGATTTTATCATTCATAGACCCTGCCCATGCCAGGACCCACACCCCTGTGGAGGTCACAGGAGTCTACTCTGCACCTCTTACCTCCATAAAATGCAGAACTTTCAACCTTTCCTGGAGAATCAGAACTCACATTCCAGAAAGTCAGTAGTATAGACTGGAGTTCAGTAGCATTTCTTAGGGGGTCCTTTATGCTTTCATTCTCCATCAGATTTTCCTTTCAAAGAAATAAAGCTAATTAGGCAGACTCTCGTTGAAACATTAGAAAGCAGGAATATGCATAAATGTGGTAGGGGTGAGCCCTGGAGACAATATTGACTAAGATTCTACCGTGGGGTGGGCATGAGGTTCGAGACACTGACACAAGTTTTTACATGACAGCTGAGGCATTGTCACCCTTTCCAGAGCCTCTTACTTTCTACTGACACCTGAGACCAGTCCATGCTTGGTTGTGGGAGGCTGTCCTGGGCATTGTAGGATGCTGAGTTGTGTCTCTGAGCTCTAATCACTAGATACCAGTAGCACACCTTCCCCCTACCCCTAAAGTTGTGACAAGCAAAAGTATCCCCAGACATGGACAGATAACTCTTGCAGTAGAGGACAAAATCACCTCTGGAGGAGAAATGCTCCATCCTAAAAATCACAGGGAACCTGCTAGTGTCACAGCAGGAGGTGATGTGGTGAGACGGACCAGCTGCTTCCCACACCCAGGCTTCACCCCACTTACCTGAGTATTCACAGGTGACTGTTTGCCTTCATTCTTCTCTGGAGGGAAAAGTAGCCATGAAATGGGATATGGAAGAAAACCCACCCTCGCTCACATCCCTTCTCCCAATCAGCCTCAAGTTGGGGCTTTCCCTGCTGTTTCTGCAGCCCACCCCAATTCCCTGCTAAGAAATACAAAAATGTGTTCTACAGTAGATTATTAAAGGGAATTTTAAGGCAGCTTCCAGTTTAATACTTCAGTCAGCAGTATTTGCTGAGCACCTACTCAACAATGGACATGATGCTAAACCACATGGATAGAGGTTAGTAAAAGAGACCAAGGGTGTCCTCTTGTGCAGTTTACAGCCTGGAAGGAAAGGCATTAAGCAAATGATTACAAAACAATAATCAAGTGATTGCAAACGATGCTTTTAATAAATAGGAAGTGATAACATAGAGACACACAGCAGAGAACCCCAATACATCAGGGTTACATAGAAGGCTTCTTGGAGGAATCAGTGTTGAGTTAATAATATAGAAGCCATTGTCTACACATTATACCTACACTATCTCATTTAACAAAATGCTGAAGTTTCTATAGTAGAATTACATAGCATAAGAGCTAATTAATGTTTACTGAGCCTTACGAGGTACCTAGGACTGCTAGCTATTTTACATGCATTAGTAATCCTAAAGAATAGGTGAGGTTGGGCCAGACGCGGTGGCACACGCCTGTAATCCTAGCACTCTGGGAGGCCAAGGTGGGTAGATTGCTAGAGGTCAGAAGTTCGAAACAAGAATAGGTGAGGTGTACTAGTTTGCTGGGGCTGCCATAACATGGTGCCACAAACTGGTGGCTTAAAGCAACATATATTTACTGTCTCACAGCTCTGCAGGTTAAAAGTCCATAATCAAGGTGTCAGTAGGATCATGTTTCCTCTAAGGAACGTCCTAAGGAGGAATCTTGCCTTGCTGCTTCTAGTTTCTCGTGGCTGCCAGCAATCTCTGTCCCTCCTGGGGTTGTGGCAGCGTAACTCCAGTCTCTGTCTACACGTGGCCATTGTCCCTTTGTGTGTGTGCCTCTGTTTCCTAAGTTCCCTGTTTTTATAAGAACACCAGTTATACGGGATGCAGGGTCAACCCCAAACTAATATGACCATATCTTCACCTGACTACATCTGCACAGAACCTGTTTCCACATAAGATCCCAATCACAGGTTCCAAGGGGACATGAATTTGGGGAGCTCTGTATTCAACCCAGTCAGCTGGATTCTGAAATGGCTTTAGATTTTTCCTGCCTCTCGGGATTCACATTCACATGTAATCTCCTCCCACTGACTGTGAACCGGACCCAGTGACTCTCTAGTAACGAACAGTATACACCAAAAGTGATGTCACCCGTGTGATTAGGTTATATACGACTATGACTTTTGTGTTATTCACACTTTTAGGCTGTTTCCATTGCTTGCTGTAATAAATCCAGTTACAGACACCCACATATCTAGGAACTGATAACTTCCTCCCACCAACCACTAAATATGACCTGAGGGCTTCAGTCCAAGGGCTCTTAATGAACCGAATCTTTCCAGCAACCCCACGAGTGAGCTTGGAAGCACATCCTGCCATAGTCAAACATCTGGTTGAAACCACAGTCCGCAAAACACCCTGATGGCAGCTGTGATGGACCCTGAAGCAAAGGGCCCAGCCAAGCCTCAGTTGGACCCACACAAACATTGCAACAATAAATATGTGTTGTTGAAGCCACTAAATTTGGGGGGGTAACTTGTTATGCAGCGACACATACCTAACACGCACATCTTAGTGCCACTCCCATGTACAGAGGAAGCATAGAAGTTAAATTAGTAACAGAGAGTCAGCTAGTAAGGGGATAAGGCAGCACTTATATCCAATCCACCTAACTCAAAATATGGAATTTTATTAGGATTGAGCAATTAGATGAATATTATAGTCAGTAGTAAGAGCCAGGCTTCTCATTGTTGGAGAAAGAAGTTACAGACAAGGAAATAGGAAGGCTGAGACAAGACTTGGTGTTGCACTGGCATTGGCGCTAACGACATGAACTCATGGGCTTCAGGACTTGTACGGACAGATAGACAGACGTAGGAATTGCATTAAAGGTGAGTGAGAGATAATAAGTAGACAAATTCAGAAAAAAAGGTAAATATGTCTTTTGGAATGCAGGAGACCTGTGTAGGAGACATAAACTGTAAGGCATCTGTGTAGAGATGGCTACTTATGTCATGGGCTGGGACAGCATCTCCCTGGGCCACAAGGACAAAGGAAAGAGGGATGAGGGTTAGGACAGAGCCTTGGCCTGAAATGGGCAGTTCTGAGAAGCTCTCCCCAGGTGCCAGCCCCATCCTTCTGCATAGAGGAGAGAGTATTGGGAGGTTCTTACCGTAACAATCTGGATGATCAATATCCACCAAACGAGCCTCCCAGTTGAAGAAAGGGTACTTTACCACACAAGTGCAGACAATAGCTACGATTTTGTTTTTACAATGTGCCGTATCGTGGCACTTTGCCTGCCCGGTCTCGCACAAAGCAGTATCTGTGATGAAGAGACAATATTGTTGTTTTTCACTTTCATAGAACGAGACCAGTACCCTTGCCGATGGAATCTTTATTGCCAACATTGTTCAAAAATGTAGCCAAATACCTGAGCAACACAACCCAATAGAAGAGAGGAGATGGCTACGCTTCCCTGAGCTGGAACTAGAGGGGGCAAACTCAGCATTTACAACAGACTACTTAAGAAGTAAAAAAAAAAAAAAAGTGAACTAATGATATTGGATTCTCTGTTAAGAAGGATCATAATCTTTCTAAGCAAGGGTAGCCAAGCATTTAATATTTTTCCAAGTAAAATCACTGGGGGACACACTTCTGCATTAGGGAAGAATCCCTTGAGTAAGCTGCATCCACATCACATAAACCTATAAACACAGCATCTGATGAAAGATTATCCTCACACATTTTTTTTCTGGCACAAGAAATTTGTCTCTGCACAAGTGAAAAAAATTGTCCTAGGAGCTATGGCAGACAGCTGAGTGCCCACAATCACCATTCCATCCTTCTTTCTCTGGGACAAGAGTTACCAAATTGAAGCTGAACACAACTCATTTCCCAGCTTCCCTTGCAGCTAGGCAGAGCCATGCAACTATCTGCAGGCCAATGGATGGAAGAACAGAATGATGTGCCCCACAGAAAATGAGCATCATTTCTATTCTCCTCTTGTCCCTCTCCCCTTGGCTGGTAAGAGGATGTGGAAGTAGAGCAGCAATTATGTAACACAAGACGGAAGCTGAATGTGGAAGATGGCCTGGAACAGCCCTATCAGCCCTGGGATCCTTACACTCAAATTGTCAAAGAAATAATAGCCAAGCCATTGTTTAAGCCACTGTTACATTAGGCTTTCTGAGGCCACTTGACTTGGAACACTAATACAGATAGTAAGTTCACATGGAACAGTTGTCAAAATAGATCCTAAGACAAGTCTGAATGAATTCAAAAGGATTGAAATTTTAAAGAGTATGCTCTCACACAAGAACACATCAAACAGATTGTACATCATGGCCCTGTGGGATTTATCCCAGGCATGCAAGGCTGGTTTAACATATGCAAATAAACCCCTGGGCTCCATCACATTAACAGAACAAAACATAAAAATCATGTAATCTTCTTGATGCAGAAAAGGCATTTGGCAAAGTTCAACATTCTTTCTGGGTAAAAACCCACAATAAAAATAAATAAGATACCATTAACACAAAGACACCGAGGAAAGTCCCAAATATTTGGGAATGAAACAAACATTTCTATGTAACCCATAAGTAAAGTGATAAATCACAGAGAATTTTTAAATAGTTTTAACTGAATGATAGCAAAAGCTCAACATGTGAAAATTTTCAGTATGCAGCCAAACCAGTACTTAGAGGGAAATGTATAGCTCTAATGTGTAGCTATTTGAAGCTTTAAATGCATTAAGTTAAAGACAATGAATTTAAAAATCAATGATCTAAGCTATCAAGTCAACAAGTTAGAAAATTAAAAATCAAATACAAAGAATGGACAACAAAATAAAAACAGCAGAAATCCACGTAAAAGAAACAGAAAAATGATAGAAATAATCAACAAAGCTACACCCTGGTCCTCTGAAATGAATAATAGATGCAGGGGTTAAGGACTTACCATAGTCCCTGACACAGAGCTCTTAAAACCCTTGTAATTTCCTGAGCAATAGACTCACTAGGAAAATCTTTTGTTCTGATATTTTGTCTTTGACCCAAGTTTCTGACACGCAGCTCCTAAGACCTTTGAGATTTCATGAGTATCAGAAGCATGTGACTCAACTCCTAAATCTCTTGGAATTTCCTGGGCATTTCCTGTTCTAAGGAGATGACTCTTAGCCACCTCCTGTGGGCTCAGGATGGGAGCTGGTTGCCAGGGAAACCAACCGTGAGACTAAAGGGTTGGAACTTTCATTTCCATGCCATCCCGCCTATAGCAGGGGAGAGGCTGAATGCTGAGTTGGTAGCAAGGACCAATGTTGTAATCAATCATGCCTAAGGAATGAATCACCCATCAAAATCCAGAAGAACGTGGTTCCAGGAGCCTCCAGACAGCTGAAACCGTGGAGGCTCCTGGGGTGTGACCCGGCCAAAGAGGGCTTGGAAGCTCCACATCCCCGTCTCCCACACCTTGTTCTCTGCATCTCTTCCATCTGGCTGGTCATCTGTGTCTTTTATAATATCTTTCATAATAAATGGATAAATGCAAGTAAATTGCCTCCCTGAGTTCAGTGAGCACATTAATCAAACTCAAGGAGGGAGGTCACGGGACTCTGATTCATAGCCGGACAGGGTCAGAAGTACAGGTTACAACCTGGGACTTGCAGCTGGCGTCTACACTGGAAACACCCTTGTGAGACTAAGCCCCCAAAATCTGGGATCTTGTGCTACCTCCAGGTAGATAATGTCAGAATTGAATGACAGGACACCCGCTGGCATCTCTTGGAGAATTGCTTGCTTAGTATGGAGGGAAAACTCCACACATATTTTGTTGACCAAAGCTGAAGTATTCTGTATTGTCCTGCATATGTGAGAGTAGAGCAGGAACATAACCCAAAGTGGTTTCCTTTCTACCAGCCATGGTAGGATGGTGGATATTTTTGTTCTTAAACAATTTTCACCATACTAAGGGAGGTTGCAATATGGAAGAGAGCTGGTTTATTCCCTTTTTTGTTGAATTTGTATTTTGGAAGAAGAGCCCCACTCATGTAATGTTAGCATGGAAGACTATGATTCTGGGAGCCCATTGATTCTTTCATTCATAGACCCTGCCCAGGCCAGGGGCCAGAATCTTTGTGGCGGTCACAGGAACCTACTCAGTACCTCTTACCTATACCAAACAGGGAAAGTCTGTGCTTTTCTGGAGCAGGAGAATTCAATTTCCAGACAGTGAATTCCACTCTTTGGACTTTAGTACCTTCTCTTCCAATTTCCCTTGGGCTTCTAGTCTTCCTCAGATTTTCCTTTCAAAAAAAAAATAAGGAAACTTCAGAAAATAAGGAAACTTCAGAAAGCAGGAATGTGCATAAATATGGTAGGAGTGAGCCTAGAAGACAACATTGATTAAGGCACTAGTAGGTGGGGCGGACATGAGGTTCCAGACACCGACACAAGCCTTTACGACAGGGGAGGCACTGTCACTCTTTCCCAGAGTTTAGTACTTTCTACTGACATCTGAGACCAGTCAATTTTTGGTTGTGGGAGGCTGTCCTGGGCATTGTAGGATGTTGAGTTGTGTCCCTTGTCCCTTATCAGTAGCACACCTTCCACCTACCCCTAAAGTTGTGACAAGCAAATGTGTCCCCAGACATTATCGGATGTCCTTTGGCGTAGAGGACGAAATCACCCCAGGATGAGAACTACTCCATCCTAAAAATCATAGGGAACCTGCTAGTGCTGCAGCAAGAGATGATGTGGTGAGATGGACCAGCTGCTTCCCACACTCAGGCTTCACTCAACTTACCTGAGTTTTCACTGGGGACGCTTTCCTTTCACTGTTCTCTGTGAGGGGAAAAAGTAAAGTAGCCATGAACTGGGATGTGGGAGAAAACCCACCCTGGATCACATCCCTTCTTCCAATGAGCGCAAACTTGCATCTTTCCCTGGTGCTTCTGCAGCCCACCCCAATTCCCACCTAAGAAATCCCAACTGTGTTCTACAGTAGAATTATGAAAGGGAGTTAGAATGTGGCTTCCAGTTTAATAATACTTCAGGCAACAGTGTTTATTGAACACCTACTCAATACCGGACATGATGCTAAACCATATGGTTAGAGGTTAGCAAAAGAGCACAAAGGTGTCCTCTTGTGGAGTTTGCAGTCTGGAAGGAAAGGCATTAAGCAAATAACCACAAAACAGTAATTAAGTGATTGCCAGTGATGCTCTTAACAAATAGGATGCAATGTCATGGGGACACACACCAGAGCGCCCCAACACATCAGGGTTGCAAGGAAGGCTTGCTGAAGGATTCAGCGTTAATAGAGGTAATAATATAGAGCAGTCATCCACACAGTACGTCTACACTATCTCATTTATGGAATGCAGAAGTTTCTACGACAGGCTTATGTAGCATAGGAGCAAATACTTACTGAGCCTTCCTAGGTACCTAGAACTGCTAAGTATTTTACATGCATTAATAATTGTAAAGGATAGCTCTTCCCACCTGCCCCCATGCCCATCCTTCTTCACAGAGGAGAGACTATTGGGAGTTTCTTACCATAACAGTCCGGATGGTCGATATCCACCAAACCAGCCACCCAGTTGAAGATGGGATGTGCTGCCACACAGCTGCAGATGTAACCTCCGATTTTGTTTCTACAGTATGCTCCATACTTGCACATGTGCAGCTCAGTCGCACACTCATCAATGTCTGTGAATCAAGAGAGAATGCTGCTTTTCATTTTCATAGAACAATACCAGTTCTCCTGCCCATGGGATCTTGATGGCCCAACATTGTTCATCAGATAACATCTCCCATTCTTGGAAAGGATGAATCTGCATGATAAAGATGAGAATTCGCCATATGTTCATGTATAAATCTGACGCACTCCCAATAAAAAATCTGCATGTATTTAACGGAGTGAGACAAGTTGATACTGTCATGCAAGAATGGGCACAAAACCTGCAGTGGGGCAATCAGACATTAAAGGACCCAGTAATGCTTTGAGGACACAGTGAGGTGCTGATGCATGAATAAATAAAAAATAGACTACTAGAGTGAACTGAAAATCCAGAATCAGACCCATGTACCTATGGAGCTTTAGAATACAGTATAGAGGATGTGTCAAATCCTGGGAATAGGGTGGAATGTAGTTTTTATTTAATGGCGAGTCTCAAATTTGTTACATCAAATAAAAACGCACAGTGAGTAGCAAGGGAATAAACATAGGGTAAGCTAACACATCACTAGGACAGGCTGCAAGCGAGGTGGAAGGGCCACTTTAGCTAAATCCTGGCTTGTGCAATGCCTGAGTGTCCTGCATCTGCCTGTCTCACCAGCCTTCCCTGCCGATGAACCAAGTTGAGGTTCAAGCCCACAGACAGGGGGTGCCCAGAGGCAAGGACTGACACCTGCTGTCTCTGTCTGAGGCACGCAGGGACAGGTGCGCCTGCCCAGTAGCCGCACCGTGGCGAGGGGCCTGCTGAAGAGCTGTGGGTTCTATTTGGTCCACGGATTCATGTGCCTCAGACAGAGGACACAAGGACGAGGAATAGTTGTCACCAATGAGGGGTCGAATTAAATCTCATCCAAAGCACCTTTACCTTCACATGTCTCCTGGGAGCTGAGAAAGTGTCTCCTCCCAGAACTGGACTGGAATCCAACCTCACAGGCGCAGTGGGTGCTGTTGTGGCAGGAGGCATGCTCAGGGCACTGAGGACAGAGGGCTGCAGGGAACACAGACGTGTGCATTCCTTTGCTCATCATTTGTTCAAGACATATTCATGAAGCGCCCACAATCCATGCGCTGTGGTCAGAGGAATGTCCCCTTGGGACTGGCTCTGTGGCATCCTCTTTGCACCCAGCCCACAGCTGAACACAGACACGCACACGGCCTGCCCGGATCCCACTTCTGCCACCAACACCACTCCTGCCTGACGGTGGCCTCCAAATGCCAGCACCTGTGCACCTGTGCACCTTTACCTGCGGGCTCTCTCTGGCCACCAGGCTCCGCTCTGTGCAGCGCAAGGCAGGTGAGCACTGCGTCCCCTCCTGGGAGCAGCTCCCTCCGCCGGTGACTGGTGGGAGTCTGTCTATTAAAGTAACTCAGCGTGCGTAATATATAAGAAGAAAACCAACCAGGGAAGGACAAGCGTAGGTGAGAACGCGGAGACAGTGGGACCCTTGTGCCGTGCTGGTGGGAATGTACAATGACGCAGCCTCCGTGGAAAGCAGCGTGGCCGTTCCCCAGAATGACCAAATTACCGCAGGAGCCGCAGTCCCAGTTCTGGGAATATGCACAAAGGAATGGAAAGCAAGGGATGGAGGGGACGTGTGTGCACCCACGTCCACGGCAGCCTTGGTCATGCCAGCCCCGTGTGTGTAAACCAGAAGGCCACGGGGGAACGGACGGGTAAACCCGCTGTGATACAACCCCACGGCAGGGCACTGTTCAGCCTTGTACAGGGAGGACATTCTGACACACGCATTGACATAAATGGACTTCGGGGACATCGTGCTGAGTGAAAACAAGCCGGTTGGGAAAGGGCAGACTCCGGGTGGCTCTGCTCATAGGAGGTGCCCAGAGGTGTCACACCCACAGAGACAGGAAGTGGAGTGGCGGGCGCCAGGGGCGGGGAGTCGTGCTTGGCAGGGACAGAGTTTCTGTCCTGCCATCAGAGAGAATTCTGTGCACAGATCATGGCAACGGCTACAGGAGCGTTTAGGTGCCCTTCATGCCACTGAACTGTGCCCTTAGCAATGGGTAAAAGGTTAAGATTTCCTGTCACGTACATTTTACGACACGTTAAAAGTAACAACCGTGAGAGGTCGCCCTTGCCCCCTGGGGCAGGACCGCGAGGTGCTGGCCCCACCCAGTGTCCCCGGCTCCCCAGGGGACCCGGCTCCTGTCGCCCGCAGGGGACTCCTGTGACAAGGCCCCACCGCCGTCTCCGCCTCCTGTGCCCGCCCCTCCCAGGTGGTGCCTCCTGGGGTCCCCTCCCAGGTCGGTGACCTGCCATCCGCACGGAAATCTGGAGGGAAACCAGCCCCCGGCGGGGCGTGGCGGCCGATCGTGTTGAGGACGCGGGACGCGGGTGTGGGGAAAGAGGGAGCAGCACCCGCACCGCCAGCTGTGTGGCCTCGGGCCGTGCCGGCTCAGCAGGACCTTGGCCGGGCGGGGACGGCGGCAGCACCTCTGGGTGGGAACGTCACAGAGGACTGCACGGGAGTCCGCGTGTCAGCCACTTGGCTCAGTAAACGCAGGTGACGCCGATGATGCCCGCGGAGGGGGACAGCCCTCGGGAGGAGGGGACGCCAGGGACTCAGCGCCCCTGCCTCGCACAGGGCTCCTTCCCCTCCCAGACGCGAGCCCCAGGTCCCAGTTTCCTTCCCTCTGGCCCGTGGCCGTGAGTGGACTCACCTGCAGAGCTCCTGCCTTCCGGTCCTGGCACAGCCAGCAAGACCCCGAGACCTGGAACAGAGAGGAGGGGACGGTCAGACGGGGACCCCGGGCTCTGCGTGGCTGCAGGCAGGGCGAGTTAGAGATAACTAACCCTGACCTTCTGCCCGGTCATATGTGTGAACTTCACTGTAGATTCTTCCGGGCAGGCTGTAGACACAGGGTCACGGGGGTGGGCATGACATATTAATACCAGGGAAGAACAAGAGGGACATGGGACTACAGAGGTGGTTCCCCCCTCCCCAAAACTCAGCTGCTAATTCAGCTTTTCCACCTAGTCTAGCAGCAAACACCAACGTTGCAACCTCTTTTCCATATTCAATGGTTTCTCTTTATCGGTCCAGACCTCAAACCCCACACTCTCTTATAAAAATATAATGCAAACCTCACAGGCCTTTTGACATTTTCTAGTAGTCACATTATTTTTTAAAAAAGCAAAGAGAAACAGGGGAACCTAATTTCAATAATATGCTTTACTTCACCCAGCAGAGCCAAAAGGTGATCATTCTAACATGTAACTCATATGAAACAGATTATGAATGAATCACTGGCCACCCTTCGAGTGCTTGTAGCCACCCCTGGCAGGTGGCTGTGGGATTGGACAGTGCAGGCTTAACCCTCAGGAACTGCGGCTTCCTCCGAGGCCAGAAGAGATTAGAATAGCACAGACCATGAGAAACCTGGAGTGACCATGGTTGTAAGGCTGAACATTTCATGACATTATAGAACGACTGTCCACATTTCCTGGATGTGACAATTCACCCTCGGCTTCCACACCTGCACGGGGGTGACCCCTCATCCACGCACCTTCGTCGGCTCCTCCCTCTTCCGCGTGTGACGCCCCCACTCCCCTTCTTGTGCTTCCCGGGATCCCATCCCAAATAAATGCCCCCCCCCCACGCACACACTCGTTCTCGTCTCGGTTCTGCTCTGGGGCAGCCCAGCCTAAGAGACTCAGCAGGAGAGTTTGGTGCAGGACAAGCTCACGCAGGGGTTGCCGGAGACAGTGCCCGCCGTCGGGGAGCACACGCAGCCGGGACGGCAGGGGCAGGAAGAGAAGGGGGTCCCGTCCCACT